CGGCCGGCCGAACGGCCGGTCGCCCGGGAACGGAGCGGCTCAGTCTTCTGCGGCCGGACCCCCGTCTGCCACGGCCAAGTCATCGGTTAGCATTAGCAACGGCAGGGACCCGCGACGTGCCAAAAGATGAACTGGGGAAGGGGATGGGGCAGGGACTCTTGACATCATCCCTCCTTTTCACCTTCACTTCAACTCAAAATTGACTGCTGTCACGGCCACATGTAGAGTAGCTGCATCGCTCTTTAACACGGATGAGATTGTGTCCCTAATTGCTTGCGAGTCTACGGTTGCGCTGTTTGGAACTCCTTCAGTCTACTTGAGGCCCCCCCTCCTCCCCGCGAGGAACCCACTAAATGTTAACATAAACACCCCATCCCTGTCCAATTCGGGCAAATCATACACCCAACTTGAAGAGTCGGTGCACTTTCTTCTCGGTCATAAAAAGCAAAGCAGAATGTTGTGTAAATAGCAGCACCTCTGATTGACTGACCACATAACCAAATGTCATCTGAATTGACAGGTGGGGTGGGGGGCATTCATAGCTGTGGTTTACAAAGGAGTCGGTAGAGCCTTTTGGTTTTTTTTTGTTTTTTTTTTTCCACTTACAAGTTTAGGTCGCTTGCCACAATAGGAGCAATATTTAAAGTGGGACCACTCCAAGCTTGACAGAGAAAGTTCACCAAATAAAATTTGCAACTGTTGTCAAACATTTTTTTTAATTGTTTTTTTTTATGTACACTTCCGACAGGGCATTTGCTTCCTGTTGAAGACCCACACCTCACTGTGTACTGTTTGAACCAGTTCACGTTTAAGCAACGTCTTACCTCAATGTTGCAACATACTCATTTGTTGCACTAAGCACCTCGCATATTCACTCTTGGCCTTGCTCCATTTCTTCTCCCACAATGTGACTCACTTTTCATTTCAATGACAGTTTTATGCGCCCCAGAGTGCGTCAAAACTGGATTTACACCGCGGCTCCAACTGCCCAATTCATATTAAGTGTATTTATATGTACAGTAGTGGGCATTTAAAATGACGTCTCCCGTACAAATCGAGTTCAACAAGCCCATAACCAGCTTGGACGTCGGGGTGAACAAATGCAGCGCACCTTCGGGCAGGAAGTAATGAACGATGCCCGTCAGATGCGCTTCATTTGTTTGCCGGCGTTCCGTTCGGGGCAACCCTTCCTTTGTGGCCGCAGTTTTGATAGTTGTGCGCAGTTCAACCCAATGTTAAAGACGTATTACAGAACAAATGTGCCCAATCTCTCAACGCACGCTTTGTCTAGCCGTAATATGAGGCACGTAATTGCAAACCAGCTCCCTGTCAACCCGAAATTTTACCACCGAATCTCGTTCGATTGCGCCGACCAGGTGTTTGACGTCAGAAGCACATGAGTATAGAGAAAGGAAATAGGATGTCCGGCACGTGTCAACACAAATGTGGCAGTCATGAGCCTCAAGCTCGCCGGTCAGCCCGGAATCATGTGCTGCTGGAACAAGAACAGTATTTCAGTTTCACTGTGTGTTGACACTGCGGGGCCCCACATGTCAACATGATTTTCCGAAATGATAATCTGAACACTAGTTCCCCCAAATGTACCCACCCCGCCCTCAAAAGATATTGCTTAATAATCCACAATGGGGGGGAATTCAGGTGTTGCGGCAGGTTTTAAAATGTGTTTTTAATGAAGCCAACGCTCTTTCAAAACAAAGCAAGCCGGTGAAATGGAAACATTCCAGTAGCGCCTCCCGCCTGAAAGTTTCGACCAAACAGCCCTTCTGTTGTGCGCCTCGCCTGCATTTCCACCTGCGGCCTGTTGGTGGTCAAGATTCCCCGGAAAACAGAGATGACGAAAAACAAACAAAACAAAAAGCTCCACGCTCCGTTGCCACGCAGGACTTCTGTTTAACGCGTTTATTTTCTCTTGTTGAAGTGTGCGTGTTGTGTGAAACGTGTGAGCCTACTGAAATACTCCCAATAGGTGTTGTTCTTCTTTGGAAAATTATGAACTATGCATTACACAGAAAATCAGTCATTTGAGGGTGAAATCAGGCCAGGGAGTTGCTCCAATTGAGCCGCAGTCGTACGTCGATCACCGAAAAAGATGAGCAACGCTGCATGGTGACGTTTTGTTTTGTTTTGTTTTGTTTTTTTGTAGGTGAGCTAAGTGGAGCATGGCAACAAAAAGGCAAAAAAAAAAAGGTATTGCAATCCCTTTGATTTAAATTTGTTGTAATTTGGTTTGTAGGTGAGGTAAGTGGAGCATGACAACAAAAAGGCAAAAAAACAGGTATTGCAATCCCTTTGATTTAAATTTGTTGTAATTTGGTCAGTCAGTGGTTTTATAAATCATTAAATGTTCTGTAAAATCCCCGTCTCTCTTTTATGTCCACAAACAGCGTGACGGCGTACATCTTATGACAAAACATTTTGATTTAATTTTTTTGTAATTTGGTCAGTCAGCGTTTTTTTTATAAATCATCAACTGTTCTGTAAAATCCCCGTCTCCCTTTTATGTCCACAAACAGCGTGACGGCGTACATCTTATGACAAAACATCTGGCCCGCATGTCAAAGGGGAAGTGTTTTTTGGGGCCTTTTTTTTTCTTCTTCTTCTTCTTGGGTTGAAGACAAGCCCAACCACCTGATTCAGTGAAATCACAAAACGATTCAACGAAGCACAAAGAAGCCAAGCTGAGGATCAGCCACAAACATGAGTAAGTAACAGTTTCTTCAAACTTGAGACGGGTGACTGAACACATTGTTACTTGAATTACAAAATGACACGACGGTCCTTTGATTAGCACGTGAAGTCTGAATTTATTCACGCAAATGGTAAAAAGCCGCGAGGAGACAGGAAAATACAGCAACGGTGATGGGAGGAGTGTCGACAAAGGCCAATTTCTTGTGACACACTTGAGCGCATCGGCTGGCGCACAGGAGCCACCAGAATGACGGGCAAGTACTCAAAACCTTCAAAATGCTTTTTCGGTCCGTTACTGCCTTTGGTTGAAAATGGAAAGCAATTGTATTTAATTCCATTGTATGCAGTACTGAGGTGGCAGTTTTAAACTGACATGATTGACATGTATATTTTGTGAGGGTAGTGGATCGCGCATTGTGGGTGTTTTATCACTGATAAGCAGAACTGGCAAACAGTCTGTAAAGTAGCCGAATACTCTCGCCTGAAATCTTGTCTTGCCAAAAGTCTGCTGAGATTAATTAAATAAAAACTGTTCGCTATCCAAACTACGGCCCAGGGGCCTTTTGGAGGTGTTTTCCCAAATGGTCAGCTCACTTCACTTTGCCTTTGTTTCGGTTCAAAATGTGCTCACTGCTCAGTGCGGGGGGGTTGGATCTCTTCTGATGGCCACCCAGAAATCGTGAAAATCCAAAAGGATTGGCCTTTTCAGAAAGTCGTTGTGTACCGCAGCAGTGTTTCAAAAATAAATAGAAAATCAACGTATTGGGCACTCTTGCTGTCAGATGAAAAAAGTGATCGGTTATTGAGTGGCAACCAGTCCAGGCTTGACGTCCCTGCTTTTGCTGAAAACCAAGCCTCGAAATGGTTCCATATTCTCGATGTAAGCTTATTTGTCCATACATGCGACGTGAATGATTGGTCGCCAGACCAGAAGTCTGACTCGTGCGTGAGCCTTAAGGCCATATGGATTGTTCTTGAGTTGGACTTCTTGTCCACCCCTCCAGATCTAAGCTCGGCGTCCTACACCATCGACTTTGGCTCGGCGTACGACGAACTCAACTTCACTTACAATGACACCGACTTCGTCCTCAACCCCGAGACGCAACCCTGCAGCCCGTTCACCATCCCGGAGGCCGCCGCCGTTTTTATCAGCGTCTTTTACGTCGTCGTCTTCCTTTTGGCCATTCCTGGGAATCTGGTGGTGGGCCTCGTGATCGGTCTGAGCAAGCAGGCGCTCCCGCCTTCGGACCTCTACCTCCTGCACCTGGCCGTGGCCGACGTGCTGCTGGCTGTCACGCTCCCGTTCTGGGCCACCTCCGTCACCAAGGGTTGGGTGTTTGGAGACCAACTGTGCAAAGTGGTCACCATCGTCCAAGAGCTCAGCTTCTACTCCAGCATCCTCTTCCTGACGTGCATCAGCATGGACCGCTACATGGTCATCGTCCGAGCCATGGAGGCCCGCCCGTCGAACCGGCGGCGGGT